CACACACACACACACACACACACACACACACCATGGTGATCTTCATCTCAACCGTTCTCATAGAGATAACAAATACAAAATAAATCAGCACATTATCAAGTTTAAATTTTCCGTTCAAAGCTTTTTCCTCCTGGCTGGTCCTTTAAACACTTCATGTATGTTATGTATGTTTGTTACCATCACACACTCACCACATGTCCAGAGCTGTAGTTTGTGTCTTGGTCCCTAGGAGGAGCTCTGGGCTTCTGTACCTGCAGATAGAGGACGGAGGACATATCGTGACACAGACTCGACCAGCCTGAGGTAATGGAGCTTATACAGGACGAGATTACCGAGAGGGATTAAAGGGAAGAGTTTCCACTGAGGCGGCACAGACACAGAACACAGCGTTAGACAGGGTCGTCCACTGTCACTCACACAGGGAGAGGGAGGGGCCTTCACAGTTCACTGGGTCAAATGAATACTCACCACAGTGTGACCACTCTGGGGGTCATGGGCTGCTGAGGGATACCGTACATCCTCGCCAACCCAAAATCAGCTGCATACAGGAGGAAGAAAACCCATCTGTTAAAATCCCACCAGCAACGTACAGGCTGCCACAGTTCTGTTCATGTCGACGATTGACTTTTCCGATCCATCGATTAATCTTTAATCAAGATTTATAATTCTCAATGATGCAGCATAGATGTTTAACCAGTGAATGTTTTTGCACAATAAATAAAAATTTAATTAATTTAGAAAATGTCTGTGATGATCCAGAAATCGAGGTTCCTGACCGAAAGAATAATATGATTGGTCGACCACCTCCAGCCTCTGCTCTCGCTTTACCTGGCGTTTCTAGGGGGCGTGTCCGACTAGCCGCCCGGCTTACGTTATGCAAATTGTGGCATCACATGACGATGATGTGGAAGTGTTGTCTGGATCACTGACGAGTGCAGAACTGCTACAATCACAAAAAACCTATGAACCGCACTCGAGGAAACAAACATCATCGTATGTGGAAAGTCTCTTCCTGCTTCCCCTCCTTTCCTGGCCGACTACTTCCTCCTGTTGCTCCGCCTACAGAAGCACTACAGGAAGCCAGCCCACCTGACTTCCTTCTTTCTGAACCTCCTCTCATGTTTGGACTGTGGATATAATGTGAGTTGAACAGACGTGATTTATATGTTTTCTATTATTGTGTTGATATTTAAGAAAAGTTCCGTATTTTTATTTTAGATGTAGGTTTGTTGACGTTTAAGTTGGTATTTAGGCTCTTTGTTTGTTTGTTTGTTTGTTTGTTTGTTTACTTACAGTGGTTTAAATGTTGACTGGCAGAAGAAAACATCTCAGGCTGTCATGAGAGGTCAAAGGTCAGAGGGTTTGCGCTCTGCAGTGTGTGAATGCAGGTGTAATGTGATTAGAGTAGGAGCTGCACAGGAGGCAGCAGTAGTGACAGGGACGGCTCACCGATCTTTACACAGCCTTTGTCTGTCATCAGCAGATTAGACACCTTCAGGTCCCTGATAATGAGATTGAAGAGGATAATGAGGCAGATACAGAAACTACAGAGCGTCAGCTGCAGACGTCAACATGACGTGTTTTCTATTCTGTGCCTTGTAAATGTAAACGGCAGGGTTAGCAGACTAGATGCTATAGCTAGTTTGCCAACATTGTCGTAGCACAGACTGTTAATATTTGTTGGTTCCTCCATGAGTTTGACAAACAGCAGCATTTGTGTCTTTTATTTGAGGAAAAAAGAATAAATATATCATTTGTATATTTAGTACAGAAAACGAACTGGAGCTGCAGTTGTTGGGTTTCCAGTAAATGTGAGGGACTGACCTGTGTATAATAAAGTTGTGGTGGAGATACTCCAAACCTCTGAGCAGCTGCAGGACAATACACTTCACCTGGGAAAGGAGAAAATCATATAAATCATTATGTCCAACACAAAACTGGCAGTGATGTGTTGTTACAGCTGCTGGTCATTGAGGGAATCAAATGTTTCTTTTATAATGTATATATTTATAATTAACATTTCTTTGCAATATAATTCAACTGAGATAATTCCCCACCGGTCCTCAAGTCTGCTCAGGTCCCCTCGATACAGGTCATGTGCTCAGTGTGGACACTAGATGTTGTAAGTGGCTGTGTATAAATACAGGTTAATTAAAAAGTAGATCGTAGATTAATCTCGTTCAGTGTGTTCTGCTTCTTTTGCTCCTCACTCGACTGTTTACCTGCAGGTAACCAAAGGTCAAACTAGAAACTAGAGGCCTCCAGCCCCGAAGTCCCTCGCCTTCAGATTTTATTTATTCACATGTAGAATCTGTTTAGAGATTAACTTTGTGGTGGGACCGCTCGTGGTGTCCGAACACTGCTGAGGCCTTTGCACATATTTATAGGGTCCTAAAAAGAAATCCTGATAAAAACATGTAAATAGAAAATGTACATGTGGCTTCCATAGAAATGTGAACATAACAAACTCTGTCCTACCTGAGCCTCAGAGAACGGCGTCTGCATGTTCTCCAGCAAACTGGCCAGGTCCTGTTCACAGTAGCTCATCACCAGAAACAGGCTGAATGAGAAACACACACGATGACCAGTGTTAACAGAAACGTCTCGTGTGTCATATTTAATGAACACAAGATAATTAAGTTAATTCCATGTTTATCACACAGAGAAGCTGAGCTGTTACAGAGCAGATTCTAAAATAGTCTAAAATATCAATGAAGGGCTGGAAAGATAAAAGTCTCTGTTGTGGCTGGATTTACTGGATCTCGGTGATTATTGACGTTTTTACTGCCATAGTTTGAAGCGAGCGTGTGTTACCTCTCCAGCTGGCTGCCTACGACCACCTCCTTCAGCTCCACTATGTTGGGGTGTCTCAGCCTCAGCAGCAGGGTGATCTCTCTCAGGCTACTGATGGGGATTCCTGTCAGACAGAGAGCAGGGTACAGATGGCTCAACATGTTGCCTGACACTGATGTTGGGGATTCCAGGCGAGTTAAAGAAGTGACCTCACCATCTTTCTCTTTGTCCATTCGGACCTTTTTCAAAGCCACAATCTCATCGGACTTGGTGTCACGGGCTCGGTCTATGATAAGAAAAGGGAGCAGTTTATTTACTGAGCAGTTAAACTGGGCTGTGTTCCAGAAAGCAGGCTTGAGTTTGTTCAACCTGGGATGAGGGGAAACTCTGGGTTTTCAGTTCCACAGGATGAGATACTGGAAAACTCTGCAGTTCCTCATCTCAGGGTTCATCCACCCAGAGTTCAGGGTTAAATCAGAGTTTATTAAAGCTGCGTGTTGGAATCTACAGCCGATGTTCCCCAGTCAAACTGATCTCTAGAGTCTAACGTGAACAACTTACACACGATGCCGTAAGTTCCTTCTCCAATTCGGTTGAATTTCTCAAACTCTCGGACACTTCTGCAGCTTCCAAACTGAAACACAGTGAAAAGATCCTTGCTGTTGAGATTTCTACATTTCCTCCTGGAGTCATCTTCAAGGATAAACGCAGTTAATGGACAGACACTGAGGAATCCAACTTTTTTTTATTTTAATAGGTGAAGATACCAGACTCCATTCAAAAAACAGCTGTTTTAGTGACACCGGCGATCACTTGAACAGTGTTTTTAAAGGATTGTGATTGTGTTGATTTAAAAAAAAATAGTTTCACGGTGCAAATATTTCATTTTCCTTTCAGCCGAATTTCTCACGCGGTCAGACTCATTCCATACCAGAGCTGACTGAACATTTGTAGGTGACGCGTCGACGCCGTGGAGAAAATAACAGAAATCGTGAATAGGCGTCACCTCCTCCTCCTCTTACCCTGTCGTTCTGAGGCACCGTGAACGTTTTGTTGTTCTTAATGGACTTCAGCTTGATCCGGTCCGGCTCCTCTTCTCCTGCGGCCTCCATCTTTCTTTAAGATCGTTTCCTCACAGGGAAACACAGACGTCGGTTAAAGCGTCGCACCAGTGGGCGCCGCCATTTTGTTTAGAGCCACTGACAACACGAGCAGCTTCTTCTTCGGGGTTTTACGGTAGCTACCATCCCGTCAGTGACAACACTGCCCCGCCACAGCAAGGTGGCCGGTTAGTGAAGTTCACTTCAACACACAACAACAACAACAAGCGCGAAACCGACGCGGGAAATGTTTCCAGAGGAACCAAACACGTGATCAACCTGCAGTTCAATGTTTGTACAGTTAATTTTCTGAGACATGTTATAAAATCCAGAATAAAAACTCTAAAATAACTAAAATGTTCTAACTGTGAAAATCAAACGTTGATATCTGAAACCAGTAGCGCCTCCTCGTTAGAGCCTGTTCTTAATGGGAGTCATGTAACGCTGATGACATCATCAGGGTTGGTTGAATACGACTTTAAACACATGTTAGTTGAACGTCTGATCTCACCTGACTTCGATCCTCAGTCGACCTCGTGTGACGCAACGGTTTCAGTCACTGTCTGGTCACGACCTTCTTGCCCACTACGAACGGTGAAGAGGACGGCCTCCGCTCTTTGACGGAGTCGGCTATCGTCATGGTGGTCGTTGACACGTGCAGGTCCTCTCGTGACGGAGCTGTGATGAGGATGGCAGGAGGACGTGGAGACATGTCGACCGAATCTGATTCAGTGTTGGGCTGTGATGGGGGGTGTCTCTCTGTAACTGAGATCAGACATGTTTGTTCACTGACTCACAGAAGTTAGACAGATATAAAGACTGTAAATATGAATGTACAGTTAGTACAGCAGAGAACTCACGACCCTGGGAAGGATTGTGTTGTTTTGCATGTGAACAAAATAACTAAACAACACATTTTCCCAACCTGGTAGAAATATTACTTGGGAGTTAAAATCCAGATGATTCACTTTTGGAGCAAATCAGAAAAAGGTCAACAAAAAAAATCTGAAAGCAAATTATCCAAAATATCGCTGCAAATTATAGACAGTCTTGTACTAATGATCATAAAATCTTAGATAAAAATAATTTATAATGTGGTAGGAATGACGTCACCATGATGCCACTGTGAAATTGTATGATTACAGTATACGTGAGCGTGGCCTGACAGGTAAACTGCACCTGCAGGGGATGAATCAGCACTTTTCATTTGTCTGAGGGGGGAGTCATTGTAAAGTGCAGGTTTCACCCAAACGTCTCCTCAGTTTGAGTTCCTGTCGATCAGAATTAGACCTCACAGATATAAAAAGACCTGCGGGTCAGCTGAGGTAAACCTGAGAGGATTTCCAGCCGTGTGCGTGTGTGTGATGTCATAGTGTCTGTGTTTGGTTTGAACACCTTTTAAATTGGATTGTGCTCATTTCTCAAGAGCATCACAGCTGAGTCATATCAGATGAAAAACGATGATCATATGAGTATTCTAACTTTTTCACCTGCTTGAATAAAAACAGGCACCAGATATTTTTACGCTGCTGAACTCGACTGAACTGTGGTGGAGGTGAGCGCTGAGGCCCAGAACAAACCGCACAAACATGATCATAAGGACGGCTTAGAGTTCTGATAATAGTGTAGCTGCTTGGTTGGCATGATTTACATTAGCACTGATCAGTATTAATACTCTGAATCCTCGGAGTGAGGAACTATATATATATATACATACACACACACAGCAGCTAAAGACTACATTCTATGTCCTTATACATGAACAAAAGAAATTAGTTTCTGTCCAGAAAAGTTGCTTTTTTTAGATGATTTCCAGAAATAGTATATTCGTTTTAAAACAAATTAAAAAAAAGTATATTTTAGACACACACAAAAAAACATCCAAATAAAACTAATTTAATCAGCCTTCTGATTTGTTTTGTCCCCACTCGACACCAGAGGTGATAATGACAGATTAGTGACAGCATCAGTAAACAGCAGCACAGGAAACATTGCAACATGTGCATGGACGTGTTTTTTATGAATGAGCTCAAATTAATATTATTTGTGAGCTTCAACCAAATCCAGAGATAATGAGCGTCATACGTCTCCATCGTTATTTGGGGCGTCAGGGGCTGAAAAGTTCTTCAGCTCATTTTGATGATGCATTGCCATCTCCTGGTACAATGAATTATCACAACACCTTATGAACAAATGAGAAAATATGCATTGACGAGAGTTATGATACAAGATCTATCAACATGTCCTGATCCTGCACTTAAAACAAATGATGAGGGAATAAAACATTAAAATACTAAATACACAAAATACTCTGTTGATTATTTGTCAATTTTTGAAGACAAATACAGAAGCTCAACAGATTTCATCCATCCACAGATTCAGTCAATGAATGTTCATCTGCAGTTTCATCTCCGAGGACACAAATCTAACATCTATTCTAATAAGAGGGGCTGTGACCTTTGAACTTGATGTCAGGATTAATATTACAACACATTTGAATTATTCTGATGCTCATAAACGTTGTCAGCTCGTGTCTTTTCACTGATGAGGACACTGGGGCTGATTATTGTAAACAGAAAGACAGAATTCACATCATATGTGGGTGCTGGGTCAATCTGAACCTCAAGATTCTCAGAGTACTGTGAGGATCCAGGTAAAAACCACGATCTGTGTCCGCAGCAGAGACGCTTTGAATTCCACACTGACTCATCAATTGATCCTTATAATGTGTGTGATGGTGCATGTTTCATTTCGTGTCCGTCAGCTGCAGTTTCCTCCTGAAATCACCTGAGGTCACTGCAGAATCTTCCCTACCTGAATCTTCCCCCTGGCTGGCTCCAGACCCCATCAGGCTTCAGTCAGCTCCCGTACACGCAGCTCTGTACAGGTCCACATACATGATGCTCACATGTTTGTTTTGTGTCAGTTTAGGATAAAAGCACATTCACAGTCAGTATCCAAGATCCTGTGACATGTCTGAGCCAATCGTCCCCTCCCTCCCGGCCTCCTCCTCCCTGTGTCCGTCACCCGCTCTGTCTGGGTGACAGACACTAATCCTGCACAGCAGCAGTGAGAGATACTGGATTTAAAGGGCGAACTAGGATAACTATTTCAAACCCTGATTTTATTATGGTTAAGTATAGAAAGGATTCCTGTCAACAATATATTTGGTTTTAGCTGAAGTTCTCCTCACTTAGGTTTCGTAGTATTTGATACAATAATTAAGATTTTGACCAGATTTAAACTTTTACTCAAACTTGTCCCTCTGTAACTCTTAAGCTGTTAAACTCTGTGTGTTTGAAAGGTTCGGTGTGTAAGATATAAACGATGAGGAGGCTCCGTCACAGTGGAGCTGGGACACTTCTTCAAATCAGTGATGGTCATTGTGTCTTAATCTGAAAAGAGTTTTATTAAATGTTCAGAGTTTCCAACGTGAAACCTCAGAAAATATAAGAAAACACTTTTCATCCTCAGAAAAAAAGCGTGTGAACGGAATCGACAATAGGTGGCAGTGTTGCACCTGAGCTTGCTTCGAGAGCGGAACAAGAGGCGAAGAAGAAGAAGAAGGAGGAGGGGAAAAAGAAAAGAAGGGTATTTCCGGTCACGTGACGGCTCCTCAGACCAGGAAGTGCAGTGTTTGATGAAGACGTTTGAAAACAAGTGAAGAGGAACTGAACCATCTTTTAGCTGCGATCACCTGGAAGCGTCGCCGACATGGAGGGTAGGTGAAGCTTCAGCTGCGGGTTCCACCGCCGCTGGCCCCGGGGATTGTTGAGTTAGCAGCAGCCTGTTAGCTTGGTGGGCGGGGGGAGCTAGTTTAGCTTAGCTGTCAGACCTGTTGTGATTGTGAACCAGGCCTCGGCTGTGGAGTCACACGTTAGGAAACAGTTAGAGACAGAAACATGTAGATCATTTAACGAGCTGTGATTCTTGTTATCCTCCATCACTGGAACCAGAGGAACCCAGAGGAGTGTGAGGAACGTGTCTGTGTCTGTGTCTGACACAGTTTCTCCTCTTTATGTTTGAGGAAAGTTCCTTCTGCTTTGTCAGGTTGTGTGTTTGGTTTTATTCTTAGACACGTGTTTAGATTTTCTTTGATAAACATCTGATGAGAAATTTAAGAAGCTCATTTATTTATTTATGTTTTAAGTTCATTTCATTCACCGAACGAACCAAACAGTTTGAAAGCAAACCCCAAATTTCAAATCTCAACACATGTATTAACAGATAATGACATCACCAGTGAGGCATCATGTTCTCAGGTTCTCCGTCTCTTCATCTTATTCTCGTGAACTTCTCATCTCAGGAACAACTTGAGGGAATTTCTTCAAATCTGATAAAAAAAAAGGTCATTTGATTGTAACACATCAGGATCTCTGTGACACGAACACACTGGTTTTATTATTATATTTTTTTGGAGCCGATACTGATATTAAAGAGTAAAGATGTGGTTATCAGATCTACACTCTGTCATATGAGTCTGCACAGACGAGGATGTAAACTGTGACCTGAGTGTTCAGAGGTGAACAACAACAACAACAACAACAACAAGGCTGTGACTGTAGTTTACTGTTTGTGTTCACATACTCACAACTCTCTCTCCTTCTCCCTCTCTCTCTCTCCTTCTCCCTCTCTCTCTCTCCTTCTCTCTCTTCTCTCTCCACAGACACTCTGTTCCAGCTCAGAGTATGTATCGGTCAAAAGGTTTAAAAATATCAGCTTCATAAAACTTGTGCATGTGAAAGTTTTTTCAAATGACTTTACTTTTTCACAGTTCACTTCAAAGCAGCTCGAGAGACTGGCCAAGAAGGCCGAGAAGGATTCTGCGAAGGAGCAGGCCAAGGTCAAGAAGGTGAGATGCGTTCTTGATCTATTCTGTCTCTCTTCCATGTTCCTCTGTCGCTGCCGCATGTCGTAGACCTCGCTCTCTCTCTTCCTCCTTCTCGACCCGTATCACTAATCTGACCTTATAATGAACGTTGAGTCACAGTCGGTGCAGTCGTACTGTTTGAATGAGGTGAAGTGTTGACACACAGAGAAAACAAGCAGTGAAGGGGAATCATTCTGCATCAGGGATGTTTGTTTAGCTCAAGTGAACAATGTAAAACATCCACAGATTGTTATCTGCACCGCTCAGCTTTCTGTCATCGTCATTTCTTCTCTCATACACTTTTATTTCTCCCTTAATAATAATTGTAACAATGATTCTATTGATAACGATGTTAATGACTAATCCTTGTCACTTACAGAAATACTTGAGGATATATTCAGTTGTTTCAGTATTGAGGCTCCTCTCTAATCTGATTTAACTGAGCGACAGTACCACTTCTACTTACAGTCAGCAGGGGGCAGTACAGCCCCATGATGTTAAATGACTGCCTGTCATGTGAACAAAGTTTCCCACGTCTCAGAACCAGTTGAACAAGTCACAAGTATTCAAATTAGAGCTGCGGTCTGTTGTCTACATGTTCGAAGGGATTGTGATGTTGTTATAATTAGCTCGTTATTTCAGCTTCACAAGAGCGACTACACAAACCTGTTGAACCTTTGCTGATGTCATCTATAACAACACATCTACCTTTTTAAATAATGTTAACACCGCAGTTAACAAAGGTGAATGACATGTTACCTCCATGACGTCATCAATTGTTGATTTATCGACAGCTCACACCTAAAAGTAATATCACCAGAGTTAGCTCGTAGCTACTTTGCAGCAGAAGAGCAAATACACGTGTCCATCAGAGTGAGTTATGAATGAAACCATTAACGTCATTGTCTCCGTCATCAGGCTTTGCAGCAGAAAAATGTGGAATGTGCCAGAGTTTACGCAGAGAACGCCATCAGGAAAAAAAATGAAGGTCTTAACTGGCTGCGCATGGCGTCACGAGTGGACGCCGTGTCCTCTAAAGTCCAGACTGCTGTCACCATGAAGGCTGTAAGTTGGTTAATGACACACGCTGCATTGATCTGATATCCATCAAAATGTAGGATTATGAAGTAACTGTTATCATAATGCCACATCACGTTGTTCCTGCTGGTTTAAGTTTGGCAGGTGAGACGACTTTTCCACAATGAAACGACTTCATTATAAAAACTTCTCATTTTCTCCAGGTGACCAAAAGCATGGGCCAGGTGACCAAGGCTCTGGACAAAGCTCTGAGCTCCATGGACCTGCAGAAGGTCTCTGCCATTATGGATAAGTTTGAAAGTCAAGTACAGAACCTCGACGTCCACACCTCGGTGAGTGGTCGTTACGAAACACACAGATGAAACTGACTTTTCATTTGTGGAGGTTATCCTGAGTTCAGTGCAGGTTTGACAGCAGCTTGTGTTTGGATATTTGTTTCATGGAATTGAACTCTTCATTCTGAGTTTTCTTTTTTCCTGCCCTCACTTCATGCACCCCTCTTTTTCTCACACCAGGTGATGGAGGACTCCATGAGCTCGGCAATGACGCTGACCACTCCTCAGGAGCAGGTGGACGACCTGATCCACCAGATAGCAGAGGAGAGTGGCCTGGAAGTGATGGACCAGCTCAACCAGTTGCCGGCAGGAGCCACCTCAGTGGGCGCGGTGAGCACACCAAGCCAAGAGAAGGAGGACCAGCTGTCTCGAAGGTGAGGACCAATGTGTCTCATGACCAAGAAGCAACATGTGCATCTAACTCACTGTCCTTTAACACGACATGTTCTCATCCTGCAGGACAACAAGTCACACACAAACTGCACATTCACTGTCAGGTCAGAGCACGAGGAAGGAAATTAGATTACACACACACACACACACACACACACACACACACACACAGGCTTGACTGTTGTTGCAAAGTCATGAGTGAGGAAGAAACATGCACAATGTTCCATGAAGACGCTGCATCATTGTTGTATCATGATAGATTTCGTTTATTCAGTTTCCTGATTTTGAACGTGTCCTGTGACGCTGCACTTCCCTGAGCCCTTAACGCTGCTCATGACAAGTGTGAAGCACCGACATTAATATCAGCAATGAGCCGAATTTTAGTGAAATGTGGTTTCAGTGAACTGCACCTTTTAATACAAACCAATGTTTCCCTCCTTCCAGACTCGCTGCTCTACGGAACTGAAGGCTGCTCTGGGAGAGATGATAGCGCTCATGTCTGCGAGGAAGCAGATGACAGGAAGTGTGCGTGCGTGTGTGTGCGTGTGTGTTTGCGTGAGTGTGTGTGCGCGTTTCAATCGAACTGTTCCTATCGGGAGGACTTAATGAGGCTATTGATTCCCACTCTCCTGCTCTATAAATACACACACACCACCTGAGAGGCATGAATCTCTCTCTCTCTGGTTCACCTTCCCATTTTCGATCCGTTTCTCTTCCCCCCCCCACCGGCTGTGGCGACACCCTCCACCCTGGATGTTTGCTTTGTACAAAAAGAAAAACACTTTGAGAACTGAACAATGTAGAGCGTTTTAATAAGCAGTTATCATTATAACTTCCACGGCTGTCGAAGGCTACGTCCACATTAATACGTTTCAGTTTTAAAAAGCATCTCTGTTGCTATGGTTACGCCAGGCGTTCACACCACTCCGCTGATTGTTCCTGTTCAATGAAGGGTTTTGTATTTTCTCAGCAATCAAATGCTGAGTAGACAATCCGCTTCCTGTTTACACCACATGACCAGTGTACGACCTTCCAAAGTAAAACTTGTGTGTGGACGGAGATGGATCTGTTTTAAAAACTTTTTTTTTAAAAGTTGAAATGTGTTCGTGTGGACGGTGCAGGGTGAGCTCACTGTTTTATTTATTTTTTTACATTCTTCGATCCGTTTGTCAGAAATGGTTTAAATGAAT